CAGCGGAAGAAGACGAAGGGACACGGCCCATGGACATCTATCAAGTGAGGGGACCCCCCCTGCTCTGCACGAACGCAAGGCCCAACCCTCCTCGGCTCCTCCTCTTCGTCCGGGCCCTCTGCTCTGCTCTGCATCATCATTTCCGGCGTTTTAGGCTTGGAGTAGTAACGGTGGTGTAGGACTTTTCCTCGACTTTCTTGCCTGCGTCGTGTTTCGGCATTTGGGGCGGCGACCGGCGAGGATAGAGCTCGATCGAGCTGCCCGGAAGGAAGTCTTATGCTTGCGGGAATCGGTTGACTTGGTAGCGAAGTGCCACTGTTCTCTGTCCTCGCCGTCGCATTGATGAATACCGCCGATGTTCGTCGCCCGCCCCACCGTGCGGTCCCATTGCTGTCTCGACTGGCAGAAAGGCACCCGTGACCTGCCTGGCCTGGCCTGGGGGTGTTTTCTTCTGCGTCTCTGTCAGGGCATCAGTACAGGAACGCCCTGAACTAATCCATGACGTCAATACGTACTAAGATTCCGACTTTGGAAATGAAAATTCTGGGACTAATAAAAAGCATTAGCAGTTTAAGTATATGTCAGCCCTGACCTGTCTGCATAGCCTGGGTAACGTCACTGCAAACGAGATGAGGCGGCAGGGACGTAAGCTCCTCGTTCAGTCGTTCGTATAGGAGTAGTTGAAAAGGTTTGACTTTATAGTATCACCCTTGCAGTGGCACTGTATATATGTGAAGAAAAAAAAATGGATGCGGGAAGTCGGTCCGCAATGGTCAGAATTCAGAAACCCAACTGTTGGTGTAAACGCTCCGCGGTCTGCAGATATCTGCCGCCGTTGACTCCCACACGTACTGGGACAAATTTGAATTCGGTGGGCAACTTGGCACCCTGGCATGAACATTGCAAACGTGACATGCACGTCCCGCTGATACTTCTGTTCTGCACGGAAAGAAGTCTAGGCAGTATGGCGCTCCAGTGAGGACTTGCTTGTTGTTGCAGGGGACGTGAGCATGCATGCCGGTGGGCGTTGTCCATTTTGGACTACTTCCTGGGATAAACGTCTAGCTCAGTCTTTCTGGAGTGACCTAAATTGCTGTTCCGTTCTTGATCACCAGATGTCTACTTGGATTAGGAAATAAAATTAAACCAGCCGGGAGCCGCTGAGCTCTACTCGAGCGTCACTGCAAACTACTCAATGTGATATTCTGGGATGGGACGACGTCCGGAACGTACGTACGCATCGTCGGCGCTTAAACAAAGCTCACGGCGGCTGAAAAAGGCTGCACCGGTCAGTTTAAACTACTCCAGCACCGCAGCGAGATGGCTAGTTACGTTACCATTAGACGACGTACGTTACGTACCTGCTGAGGAGGCTGCCGGGCTTGACCTGTTTTGATGTTCACTGCTCGGTCTGTTGGCCGTTAGGCGGCAGCCACCGATGGTGATTCTGCTACGTACCGTGGCTGAACCGGTCTCGCAAGAGGGGGAGACCGGTTCCTACGTGCGTCTCATTGGATGCGTGCGTGCTTGCGTTCACTGAAACGCAAGCCATCTGATCTGGCCGATCGACCGGTGACGCAGGCCGCTAATCCAAGCACAGGCTGCTAACATGCACGCACCCAGCCTCCAGCGGTTCGTGCATGGATCCGTACGGCAAAAAACGATGCCTTTGCCTTTGGTTGGCCCAGCCAGATGCTGCCTCAGATGCACGACGAGCTAATCACGAACGCTGCACAACTCGACCGGACGAGGACGAGTGAGCCGCGGCCCACCAGCTGCCAAAGGCGGAGAGGTGATCGATCCAAGGAGCCAAGAGGGGAGCATCGCGCCGCACATTCAATGCGCGCAGGCCTACACACAGGTCAGTAGATCACCGATCGTCGATCGATCCCAACTGGGGCGCCAGTCAGTGAGGTGGGCAGCGGCCGCGGCACGGCCACGGCGGGGCCCGTCGGCCGGACGTGCCCATGTGACGGACATGGCCTCCGACGCCGGCCACCAGCGCCCTGTGCATCCCTGATACCTAAGCCACGTGTCCTCGCCGGGATGGGGGTACAGCCGTATAGAAGGACACTGGTGCACGTGGCCGCGTGGGGGAAGAAATTTGGCTGATAAATTTCGATGCCAAACTGGCGTATTTATGAATTATGATCGTATTACTTATTAGTACTCCTCCTATCTGCTGGGAAGCACGTAGCTAGAGAGCACCGGGCTATCTTTCACTCTCTTAGATTTCTTGGAGTATTGGACGACTATGGCTTTGTTTAGTTTCTCACACTAAAGTTTACTCCTTATTCCATCGAATGTTTGACACATACATGGAGTATTAAATATAGACTAAAAAATAACTAATTATATAGTTTGTGACTAATTTGCGAGACGAATCTTTTAAGTCTAATTAGTCCATGATTTGATAATGTGGTGCTACAATAACACATGTGCTAATGACAGATTAATTATCCTTAATAAATTTGTCCAGCGGATTACTGACGGATTCTGTAATTTGTTTTTTTATTAGTATTCGAACACCCCATACGACACCTCCATATGATACCCGATGTGACACCCCAAAACTTTACTCCCTGGATTTAAACGAGCCCTATGTCATCCAATTGGCCCACACCATTCTAGTTATCCGATGCAATCATCTAGATTGTGTCTTTTTTATTTATAAATACAGAAACATGCATATATTATACTAAGACAGCAAACGAGTCACAAAGAAGCTCTCAGAAGAGGGAACCTCCCCACCATGCATCCCTCTTTACGGGCTTAGCCCTTTTAGCTACCATGACGATTATATAACTCATTGATTCATATCAAAAATGTCCAGAAGCAGCAATGCCCCAGTCCCCACGATTGTGTTTTACTCTTATCTAAGATCTTGCCGCCATTTTCCTCCTTCCCACGACGGACAGGACATTGCTTAATCGTAGGCTCCCAAGGTTGGGACGCAATTGGCGAGAGTTGATCCTCCCACGCCGCTCTTAGAAAAGAATCCTCTTCCTCTCCGGCTCAATGGACCATGTCCTAGGTTCTTTTTCACGTCTCATAAGGTTTGCATACGTTTTCTCCAACAAGTAAACTTTAATATTTTCACAAATTAGGTATCATTATGTTTTCTAATATTCACAAAATTAGGTTTCTCTTTTCATCGATGTATCTCTAAACCAAAGTAGAACCCTAATATCAAGGCCACAAAAAATGACTTTTGAGCATCATACAAAAGTTTGTGACCTTTTATGGCGCGATTGGTTTGCTTCGCAACAGAGCATGACCAGTCCCAACAATGTAGACCCACTGTGACCAGGCTGATCAGGTGCAACAATCTTTTGGTTTGGTTGTCATGACCGTTCAGCCAAGTCTTGGAGAGAAGCTGATTGGTTGCACTGACCGCTGCTCTCTTAGTTGGTTCAGGTTGTACGCTCTTCATGCATACAGTGAGCCAGGTCCGATAGAAACGACGGAGAATTTCATTTTTTGGGAGCCTGGCTGAGGGGCTGATGTTGCATCTAGGGAACCTGGTTAAAGGGTTGCTGCAGTTAACCAATTAGGCTACCATCGCATCCCACGAGTCTGACCAGGCCGGATGCAGAAAACTGATTGTGCCCTTAGACGTGGAAGGCGTCAAAGCAGGGACCTATAAAAGCAGACGTACCCCTTGTTTAGTTCGCGAAAACTTTTCCCAAAAAATACTACAGTAGCCATCACATCGAATCTTGCGATACGTGTATGGAGCATTACATGTAGACAAAAAAAAACTAATTGCACAGTTTGGTTGGAAATTGCGAGACGAACGTTTTGAGCCTAATTAGTCTATAATTGAACATTAATTGCCAAATAAAAACGAAAGTGCTGCAGTAACCAAATTTCTAACTTTCACTCAACTAAACACGGGCGTAGCAGTGTAGTAGGAAATGGATGCTCCATCTTTCTCTCTCTTGTTGGAAGCATTTTTTATTCCACTGTAATCACTGATGCTCAGCTGGAAAAAAAAGACAACAAGAATAACAAGCATCGGTGCTCATCCTTTATTTGGGATAAGTGTAAAAGGTCAAAATGATAGCTATTGTAAGACCCATGGGGGTAACATTTGTGTGTTCATTTGTAAATCTAGGAAGAATATTATACAAGACATATTTTGGGACTGATATTGTATGGCTTTACTTGGTCACCAATCCATCGGTACAACATTCTTCTCTGCACATGACATAGGTTTCCGTTTTCACCCTCATGTGAGATCCTAGAGCAGTCCACTGGCCAGCGTGGCCTAGCTAGGTAGGTTCCTTCCAGTTTGCAAGTCATCTCTTTGTCCAGCTGCACAAAAATGACGCTCCAAGAGTCCAACTCAGGAAACAGCCCTCAACAAAACCACAAACAGTAAATTGAAGCTTGGGCCTTGTTTAGATAGATATTAGGAATCAGTATTGGGCACTGTAACACTTTCGTTTGTATTTGACAATTATTGTCTAATCATGGCCTAACTAGGTTCAAAAGATTCGTCTCGTAATTTACCATCAAACTGTGTAATTAGTTATTTTTTTATCTACATTTAATACTCCATGCATGTGTCTAAAGATTTAATATAATGGAGAGAGAGTGAAAAAACTTGAAATCTAAACAAGGCCTTGCTCAAGTCTGCTGTCTTTTTCAGTTCTAGCTCTAGAATAGGGGACTACTACTAGGAGTATTAGTATCACTGTATCAGTTTCTTCCTCAGCAAGGTAACTGGCTTTGCAAGCATCTTTCTTCGGACTCAAGCCAACCCCGCTTAGGCCAAACTTGTTCCACTCACCCATTCGCATAGCCAACGCCCACCCGTGCGGGCTCCGCTCGCCTCTCCTACCACGTCACCATCGCCGGCCGCAGGATGCTCTTATAAAACGCCTCCCCCGCTCACCACCACCAGGTCATCCAAGTCCAAGCCTCCTCTTCCCGGCCAAAGCAGAGCAAGCGAAGGCACAGGCAGAAGCCAGAAACAGTACCAAGGGACGAACGCAATGGCTGTGGGGTTCCGTCGGACGCTCACGATGCTGGCGTCGTCCAAGTCGGTGGCGCCGTCGTTCCTTCTCGACTGCGCGCGGCCGAAGAAGCTGTCGTACGCGCGGGTGCGGTCCACCAGCCTCCCCGTGCGCCTTCACCCTCTCGCGGCGGCGCTGCACGACTCGGCGCGCGCGCTGCTGGCGTGGGCCGACGCGCCCGCGCAGACGGGGCCCGCGTGGGTCGCCGACGGCGCCGGGCGCGCGGGCCGCGTCCTGTCGGGGCTCGCGGACCTGCTGGACCACCCGCAGGCCCGCGACGCGCTGCGGCGGCACCCCTGGACGGAGCAGCTGCTGGACGACCTCCTCCTCCTGGCCGACCTCCACGGGTGCTTCCGCGAGTCGCTCGTGGCGCTCAAGCAGCTCCTCGCCGAGACGCACGCGGCGCTGCGCCGGCGCGACTACGGCGTCCGCCTCGCCGCCGCGCTGCGCGCGCAGCGGCGGTCGGCGCGGGAGGTGTCCCGCCTGGCGTCCTCCGCGCGGGACCTCTCCCACCGCGCGGCGCCCGACGACGATTCCGACGAGGCCACGCTGGCAGACGCCTTTGCCGCCGCCACGGGCGCCGTGTCCGCCGCGTCGTCGGCTGTCTTCGCCGGCGTGTCGGCCGCCTCCGCCGAGTCGGCGGCCAGCGCCGCGCCGTCCCCGAGGACCCCGACGCCATACTCCCCCGCGCGCACCCCGGGCAGCCCGATGTGGCTGGTCACCGACCTGCTCCGGCGGCGGCGGACCGTGTCGTTCGAGGACTCGTGCAACGAGGAGGAGGAGGAGCGGAAGGCGGCCATGGGCAGGGTGCGCGGGCTCGAGGAGTGCGTCGACGCCGCCGAGTCTGGCTGCGAGGAGGTGTACCGCGCGCTCGTCAACGCCAGAGTCTCCTTGCTCAACCTTCTCACGCCCACATTCTGATTGATTCTGTCTGACGCCCTCGGCTTCGTCTTCCTCGAGAGAAATTCTTGGCGGGTCAAACGTTTTTGCTGTGACTGTGAGACATTCCATTTTGATTCGTTTGCGGTCTGTAAATACGTAGTACTTCGGATTGTAAAGGGAACTGGTTCTGTGGATTTGGCGCTTGTCTCCCATTCCCGTGGCCCTCCTCTGCTCTGCGCTCTGCCCAAGTGCGAGCCGTCTTTCTTGATTGTTTTCCAACAAAATTAGCAGGCTAGCGATGCAAAAGTTGTTCCAATTGCACAATGTATTACTGCATTGTGCAGAGAAGAACATTCTTTTCTCTTTTTTTTTTCTTTGGCGAGGAAGGACATTGTTCATATTTCTGTATTGTGAAGATAAGATTGTTGTCACTCCCACCGCTCTTAGGAAATGTGAAAGAGTAGTCGATGTGAAACCTCTTGTCTCCTATGCAAAAAAAAAAAAAAAAATGAAGTTAGTACAAGTACATGAGCCAACCGATTTGTACCTAAGTTTCAAACTATCAGTTCACCGTACAAACTAGAAAGGCGAAAGGTACCCATGACCGGGCTTGTCAGTATGAAGTTTGAACACTAGGGCATGTTTAGATTGCAAATTTTTGCAATCCGGACACTGTAGCACGTTTCGTTTGTATTTGACAAACTTTGTCCGATCATGGACTAACTAGGTTTAAAAGATTCGTCTCGTGATTTACAACCAAACTGTGTAATTAGTTATTTTTTACCTATATTTAATCTTTCCACGATACGCCTAAAAACATCACGTTGATGTGACGGAGAGAGAGTGAAAAAACTTAGAATTTTGAGGCAATCTAAACCGGGCCTAGCTCAGCAAGAAAAAAGGTGGCAGCTCACTTTTGAAGTACTAGGGTCTCCCTATTGTAATCCCCAAGTCCTGATCCAGCTACCCAACAACCAATTATCTAGTGGTACAGTCAGTCAGTGGCTCGCGCGCGCGTCGGTGCGGTTGGCTCGCATGCAATGCAACGCGATGCGAGGTCGATCACATGAACCGAATCAATGTGCTCTGAGAAAATAATTGAGCTCCCCTCTCCATGGGGCGGGCCACGAGTGATAACAATAATTGGGCGGAGGATGATCATATGATATGGCTAATGGCTAGATGGGATGTTGCAGTCTGATAGTTAGGTCGGCGGCATTGGACGCATCCGTCGATCGACCGACCTTCCCATGTTCTGGCGGACGGCACGCGGACGCCCGGGGCAGAAATAACTGAATCTATGATGAGCTTACCTACAGTAGTTGCGATCGAGCGCGTCTTGGACTGAATCTAGTGCCGATCGATCGATCGTTCTCGTTCGTTCGGTGGTTGGGCTGGACGTTTGAGTGGAAGACGACCACTGCTGCAATACATGCATGATTCGGCCTGGATTTCTGCCGGCTTTCCTTTCCTCGGTCGTGATATGGGTGCGATCCGACGCCGCGTGCGTCCAACTCACCTGGCAACCGGTGTTAAGGTTGTTGAGGACGACGAGGAGGAGGACGTACGGCGGTGAACTTGGATACAGTGTAAGTAGTGTGAGGCTTCGATCGCGATGCGCCTGCCGAGCGTATATAATAGTGCGTGTTGGTGGAATCAATCCTGTTCTCTAGCATGCACATCGCCGGTGTTTTTTTTTCCGAGGAAATATCGCCGGTGATTTCATTGCCCTTATCTAATGACCAGAGAAGCTAGGGATAATTCTTTAAAATTCTTGGCCAATCACTCGTTCAGTTGTCAGCGTGAATGAAGAGACACAAAAGGATGATATAAAGGGACCACATATAATAAAAAAATGAAAAGTGGCGGAAAAGATAATCACCACCTTTTTTTTATTAGCATCGATGATATCCCTTCACTTTTCTCTGCTTCGTGGTGCTTGGGCCCAGCGCAAACGGACGGGCCTGGAACGGGAGTCACTCTCCAACTTTTCGGGGGCTTTTGATGCAATGCAAAGAGCCCACCGCGATGCATCGATCCGTCCAAAGCCGATGGCGTTTGGCACGTGATGAACGTTAGCAATGGACTTGTGTGGTGGCTAACTGGCTATGGATGCGACTCCGACTCGACGAGCACGATAGCTTGGATCCGAGCACTGCGCGCGGCATGGAAATTGTAATCGTGCTGGATGCGCTCGTGCAGACGGAAACGGACATGGCACATGGACACACTCGCACACTTTCGGATTGGAGAGGTCCTGGATCTTCTTGTTAGTCCTGCGGTTCTGCGCCTGCCTCGTCGAACTGAACCGCCCAGAATGGGCCGCTATGTCCAGTCGGTCCAGAAGGCCGCATGAGGCCCAGGTATTTCAGTCTCGTGTAACGGTTTTTTGCTGGTGGGCTGAGCTGAGCACCTTGGGCCTTGGGAGCCAGCCCTTGTGCGTGTTGTCAACGGGCGGGCTGTTCTCGTCCACTCCGTCTAGCGGCCTGGCGGGCGCCGGCTTCAATCCCACGAGCAGGCTGTTGGTTGAAGCATCCCGGTGCCAGTGTTCCAGACAACTGGCTCAATCCTTCTATAAACAAAAGACAACTGTCTCAATCTAGAATTGAAGCTATTGAAATAACTGTTTAGAAGAAAGATTGAATAGCTTGGTTATGTACAACACTGACAAAGATGTTCTAGACAACATTGATCTTGAGATTATTCTTGATGATTTTACATGAAGAAATACCCGAAGATGTTTCTTTACAAAGCACTAAAGCATTATTGTTACTCTTATTTGAGATGATCATAGGTTATTTTACTGTTCCTTTTTTTTTTGTTGAGTATTGTTGCCATTTATAAACTAAATATATGATTTAAGTCAACTCATACCGTCATACTGGTCCTACTACATGCTTTATTCATTATATTACGAATAAAAAGATCTAGCTAAAAGGCCTATGACACCATGTTCGCACAAAGATCATCAAAACTGTAGAGCTGGCCTTGGCCGTCGACGCCTCATGGCGAAGACCCCATGGAAAGACAGGTCGCGTGTCTAGTGTCTGCTGCCTCTGTATCTATGAGGTCACCGAGATGCTTGGCTCACAACCAAAAGGAGTAGGTCATCTGGCTGCTGAACCAAGGAAAAGGATATAGTGCCACACCAACCTGCGTCGTAAGAACATTGTTGACATTGCCACTTGTGACGTCTGCGAGAGTGAGGACGAAACAAGTGAACATATAATAGATGAGTGCAGTATTGCCACATCCTTCTTGCATCTGTTGGCGTCAATCCCGCCCAAACTTTGCACGAAGAACCTAGCCGGAATCACCTATCATATCCCAACCACCTATTGAAAGGACACAGTTTGCGATGTTTATCGCTCTGTGTTGTTGGCAGCTGCGAAAACGGATGAACGACGTGGTTTTCAGAGGTGAAGCTCTATCCTTGCACCAACTCATTGTCTCATGCAAAAATGAAGTCGAGCAATGGCGATGCCGACTTCCACATGGGAAGAGACTGGTGTATGATTTTAGATTCGACACTGCAAAGTTCTTAATAAACCCATTATTCTAGTAACACACGCGCACATATTGTGGAAACCATGTAACACTTATCATGCGGATTGTATTGGGCTATGAATGAAATAAGGGGAACTCTCCCCGTGTTGCTCCTAAGTTGGATATATTATTGGCTTGCCCCGTATAATATTTAATAAATCAAATAAAACTCTATGGTACGTAACATTAAGCGTTGTATGGTTTAATACCATACAGGATTTAGACTGAACGTTAACTCAGCTTATATGGTTGAAAATTATTCATCTTAATTGAGAAGCTGAGAAAAGGACATAGGCGTGCCACACATGCGCGTGCGCACCGCCGCCGCTACCGCCGGCCGGGCCGTGGCAGGCGGCGAGCGAGCGGGCGGGCGTGACCAGCCTTTTACCACTTAATCCACATAATCACGGGAGTTTCTCCTTTTGATGGTGGAGGCAAACTGATTGCGTCAGTTACCGTCCCTTCCGTTTCTCCGTCTCCTGGGATTCTCCGCTGCCTTTCTCCCTTCCCGTCGCGGCCATATATCCATAGTCCTCCGTCAGTCCATATCTCAAGCTTCCGCAACTGCTCCTGTGAAAAACCACATCTTAGCAGCCCTCTGGCTTCCCCGTCCTGTACCTTTGCGTGCACGGAGTAGCGGGAGAGCAAGTGCCTCCAGAATCCTCGTCCGCTTGAGAACCTTGCACGGGGTGTGCGACGATTAGGTTTTTGGGGAGCGATCCGCGACTGCTCGCCTTCTTCCTGGTGGTGATCGCTCTCGGAACCCGTCTTCTTCCCGGTGATTGCCTGCGGAACAGCAAGACGTCTTCTTCCTGGTGATCCGTTCGTGGGACTGCACTGCGAACATCGTCCTACATCGACTGTGGTCCACGACTTCGAGCAATGCACTATGTCGACTAGTGCGAATGGAGCCTCCGATGCCCTCGGTATGGTATCCTCCGCTGGGTATAATCTAATCTCTGTGATTACTGTACTTTGTGTTTTTACTGTATCTATCTGTATGTCATGTCTGCATGCTGTAGCGTTCATTAGAGATATACACATGCACATATATGCCGTCACGAACCTGCTGATGTTATATTTCTGAATTAAATAGACCATAAAAATGCCTAAATTTCTAACAATCTAAAAACCCTATCTTAGGCAATTTTATGCCAGTGGTTTTGCTGCTGCTTCGAAGTCAAATAATTTTGATGGCAAGAATTTCATGATATGGCGTGCTAAGATGGTATTGTGGTTGACTGCGATGAACTGCTATCACGCCGCACAGGGGAAGCCTGAACAGTTTACTCCTGAGGAGGAGCAAAAGTTCTTGGCTATCGATAACTTGTTTCGATGCGCCGTGATTAGTGCACTTCATCCTAAGTATAAGAAAAACTACATATCTTACACATCAGACAAAGAGTTATGGGATGCTCTTAAGGCAAAGTTTAGAGTTTCTAATGCTGGTAGTGAGCTGTACCTTATGGAGCAGCTGTATAACTACAAAATGG